TCTGGCATTCTTCAATACTTAACGTTTCTTACAGCAAGGATGGCATGGAAAGTAAGGTTTTTCTTATAAGTGATCTTATTTCATGCAATATATACGATTTGAAAGGCCAAAAAATAAAAAAGCAAGCTAAATAATGACTATATATATACCAGCAAAAGTATTTTTGCGTATTAATAGTCATTTGCAACGGAATATAATGTAGGTTACCGGACACTTGACTTGATGCATTCTCGGAAATGACTGGAAGACCGCTCGAATAAAAATCCATTAGCGAAGCATAAATCTCTGGCTTTATAAGATTCCATTCATGTGAGTCAGACTAAATAAAGTATGGGAACAAAAATCCGAAAACCTTCGTAACCGTAACAAAATCTGGGCCCAGGAACACTCCTACAACCCCATCTATCCTAAACAGTTGTCTACAAATAAGCATAAAAGTTAGAGACTCTACCTTGCCAGTGGTGATATGGAGCAGTCATGAATTGAAGGGAAATCATGAGTACCAGACCCTAATACATCCTTGCCTGTATAGTACTTCAGACTATTTGGATTAGGAGTCTCTTGAACCTGAATAAAGAATTTTCTTATCACTAAGGTATAATAAATAAGATTAAAATACAATAACGAATGCAATCATTGGGCTTCCGCGATCGGATTAGCGAGAAAATTGTCATTGCCAAAAAATTATTTGTATAGTTCGCCCATTAACGCAGTCTAAAACCCCATTTAATATGCTCACAAAATTACAAATAATTTGAATATACATTAACTATTAAAATTAATTTAGTTTAGTAATATGGATGAACTTTCCGGGCCGTATGGTATTTACTCCCAATGCATCCTGCTACAAGTCCTTCAAATGAGGACCAGATAGGTATAGATCACAAACTCGATTTTTTTCTAGAAAATGAACCACAAATTTATATTGAAGATGCGAAAGGTATGGAAGACCGGCTTTTGTTATTATTGGAAGAATTTAATTCAGGTGATCTAAATGCGTTTGGTATGTTTTGCTATCTTACCGTTTTTAGGTCCTAATTGCCCTTATGATAAGCTTGACGCAATCCGCGAGCAACAAGAGGAGCTGATGCGCCTCCATTTTGAATTAGATCAGAAAATGCAGAGTACGTTTGAGTCGGGTTCGTCTCGCAACAGGCGTCAAGCTCGGTGGTGAGTTGTTGGTCCAAAATAGCAAAATTGTTGCATTTGATCTTATAATCAATTATT